GTTAGGACACTTGCTAAACAGGAGTGGAGTGAGTGAGGCTTGAACATTGGAAACCTGAGTCTGTTTATTGAGTTTTGTTTTGAAGACTACATTCTAGATTAAATGACCAGGAAACAGAGATGGGTGGAATGGTGCTGGAACTAAAGGGATGAGAAGAAGGAGGGGAAGGAAAAAGTAGAAAACAGAACTGGGACTCACCAGTAGTCAATTCCTTCCTTATCCAGGATCTTCTTGGCACACATTATGTCATCAGTGAGGTCATCATCCAGGAACTCTGGCAGGGGTTACAGGGAAAGGAAAGAGAGAGCTAAGTATTACCTAGAAAGGTAATGAGTTTCCCTCTTCTCTGGATCTAGTGGGTCTGGTCCTCTCTGAACTGGAAGCTTATGCCTGTTGCCTTTCTATATGAGAAAGCTAATACGGTAATGCCTGCCCCTTGGTAGGGGCCCCCTTCACTTCTCTGGGGCCTCTCCAAAGGAATTATCAGCCTTATCAACTGACTTACTCTAAAAAGGTAAGGTCTCAATTTTCAAGATTCCCAAACAACTCAGATCATCTATTCGTGAACTTCAAGGGACTGTCTGGGGATTTAGTGATAGGAAAAATTCTCACTATGGTCAATTCAAGTCCCACAGTCACTGTGGAGTCCAAGGCAGTGAAGCCAGAAGTGTGCTTGACACCAAAAAGATTATCCCAGGAGTAGGGTCCAGCAGGGGGAAAAACCCACAAGAACAGGGTGGAAGAGGTTACTCACTGTCACAGGAGATATCACAGATGTTCCTTGACTGAAGGTTCTCATTGTCTATGCACCAAACTTTATTGTTGATCTGGAAGAGTCCATATTCTCTGTTGCCATTGTTAGAAACTACAGTTTCTGTGTCATAACCGCTCATGTGAAATATGATACAGATCCCTGAAAGAGAGATGAAAAGGAGGTATCACAAGGGTGTCCGTGCAAAGCATAAAAGAGGAGCTGCATCCCCAGACAGAAAAAGGCTCCCCAGCCCATCTCCAAATATGGCAAACCACAGAACATCTTGATGAGACAGAGTTCCAAAAGGGATCAGACAATGGGAAAAAGGAAAGACAGGTGAACAAATGTAATAAAAGAGTAAACAGATAAGCAGAGAAGATAAGAGGATTATTAGGTAATTGAATTAAAAGTAGAGAAGCAAAGAGGAGGAAAAGAGGGTGGAAGAGAGAAGAAGATGAAACATGGGGCAAAGCAAGATACCAGCAAACTCACATTCAGCCAGAGTGATGCCTCCGTGGCCGTTCATGCCTTTCAGCTCGTCGGACAGCTTACATTTTGTAAATTGTTTGGCCTGGATGGTAGGGAACAGGATGCCCACCAGGAGCAGAGAGACCAAGGACATCATTTTGGCTGCCTCCAAGATCCTGAAATGGAGACACCACACAGCTTCACCTCTTTTTATTCATGGAGAAATGCCGTGGCATCCAGCCCGACAACCAGGAAGAGGATGAAGAGAGACTGGTCAAGCCAACAAAGAAACACTGAACCTGCCAGCTTCCTTCCGTAATTTCACCCCAGTTCCCTTTCCCTCCTAGAATCTCTAGTCCCTACCGGGTATATTTCCCTGTTCAGAGAGCGTTACAAGCATGATCCTGTTTCCCATTTGGCTTTGTCTGTATCTTTGCTTCTTGTAGGGTTGGTTCTAGGAAGTGGGATGTCCCCAGCCTACTTCAGGAACAAAGGAAGCCTCAGGGGTAATATAAGTGAAGCAATCAGAAAATACAAAAAGAGTTCGTGGCCAACTCCCCCTTCTCCTGAGAGACATACAGAATATGGGAAAGGAGTGGATGTCATCACAAGTCATGGTCCCAGGATCAGAGCTGGCACTTGCCCAGTCAACCAGGCATGAAACAAAGCCCAGGAAGAGTCGCTGGATATTTTGGTTCAGATATAGGGCCGAGGGCTCAGGAATAGGGATAGAATACGGCCACACAGACTATAAAAATCAGACGTAACTTGAATCCAAAGACTTTCTACTCCACCAGCACAGAGAACTGGAAAACTGTGCATGACAGGATCTATGAGCTATTATCTGGCTTCCCACCCACAACCACCACTACCACTAACTAGCCAGTTACTACACTGTACATCTAAAAACTAATAACTTGTAAAAGATTTGTTCATAAATAAACTTGTGGATAGCCTCAGAATTGGCCACAGAAGGTTCAAAAGAGAGTGACCCAAGCCAGTGGGAAGATTGGGCTTTAAGCTCTTTAAGATTGGAGTAGTTTATCTCTAGAGCCTATAAGACAAGATTCCAGATCTGAGCTTTAAGATCAGTATCCTTGAGCAGTAGAGTTCAGATACTAGTGCTGAATGAGTCCTTCCACTTGGTAGCATCAAGCTTCGTGTTATGGTGCCAATAGCTGGTAGCTTCCTTCATGCCAGGGCTCATTCTCTGTGGCCCCAAACTTTAAACCTGATTTCTTATATTGCAGTGGGTGTCCATCCCAACCAAAGTGTCACCAGGAAAAGGGAATTACTAACCTCAAGGGCATTTAAAGGAAAGGGAAATAAGAATTACTCCGGTTCCTAGTCACCCAAAAATAAGATTTTTGACGAGAGACAAAAAGCATGATATAAACAAGATTTTTATCAGTGAAATTAAAAAAAATAGTGAAAGATAGGACACTCCTGAGAATTGGGAGCGGGCCAATCCAAGAGAGAATAAATAGCACTGTTCCTTTGCTTTTCCTGTTTTTATATCCTGGTTTCGTGATTGATTGATTGATTGATTGACAACTCAGGTTCCCTGCGCTCTGGTTGATTGTGCTCTGGGTTGTGCCTTTCCCCTTCCTCTCCCCCTGCCCAGTGCTCACCTCTATGTAACTGCCTAACAAAATGATTTAAGACTTCCAAATTGAAGGTATTGCAAACTGTTATATCATACCACCCTTCAGAATCAGGGCAAACTCCTCTCAGTTTTACCCCATGTCCTATACCATGGGTTACCAGTACATGCGGGTGTGGAGGATCATGGTGTGCCAAGAGAGATAAGCAGAGAGTCCTGATAACAAACAGATCCATACCCAGAAACACAGCAAAAGTGCTGACACTGCATTTCTGCTTCCTTCCACCCAGAGGCATTGGAGGAGCATGTGAAGGACAGGAAAAGGAATTCTATCACACCAAGCAAGTATGGTTGAAAATATGGCTGGGAGTGAGAAGATGACCTTGAACCCTGTGGAAGGGGGACAGATAAGAAAGCAAGTCCTGAGGATTAGTCTTTCCAACAGTGGTGTCTGGTATAAAATGTCTCCTGCCCCGGGCTGTGGACTAAGTACCTGTGATAGAATAAAATGGTGGGCCGGGATAGCGGGAATCACAGGGGCTTTCTTGTGCTTCCAGCCCAGTCAAGACTGATGGCAGCAGTCTGTTTGCCTATCATGTAGTTGTGTCCTTCCCTGAAGCAGTATCGAGGTCAGGAGTGACAGCTAAGTGCAAAAAGAAAATAAATGTGCCTCAGGCAAGAGGAACCCATTATTTCCTAGAAATATTTTTCAAATAGCATATCTGGGGGCATCTAGTACAGAAGATAGATGTCTAATGGGAACAATTACAACATTTGGAGAAAGATGTCCATTCTTGGAGGTGGACCACAGAAGAACAACAATGATCTCAGCACTGAAAGAGGAAGTGTATGGAAAGACGGGACGAAGGAAAACGCCTGCCAAAAGCTCCCTTTCCAGAGAGGCAGGGGACTCTGCCATGTGGGCCAGGATCTGAACTGAGGAAGTGAAGAGGCACTTACAACACATTGGATTTTTCAGAAATACACTACGAAGCTATGCTCATTCCCTCAGATGCTGTCTGTGGTAAAAAAAAAAAAAAAATCAGGATTTATCAAATCAGCTTTCTCAAACCAGTCCTCTCTGGAGGATTTCTAGAGGTTAAGGAATTAGAACCATCTGCCTCAAAGCACATTTGGCAGTAGTCATCCGAAACTGTAGATGAGTGGTGATTTACAGAGAGAGCCCGGGGCTACCATTTGGAAGGAACACCCCAAGAATCACAATAATATTGCTCTTTAGGGGAGGGTATAGCTCTGTGGGAGAGCGCACGCCTAGCATTCATGGGGTCCTGTGTTCAATCCCCAGTATCTCCGTTAAAAAAAAAAAGTATACAAACCCAATTACCTCCCTGGCAAATAAACTAAACAATAAAAATAAAATATAAAAAAACAATAATATTGATCATTACTTTTTTATCGTTACTTTTTACAGTAAATATCCTCACCTTGTTCTGCTTCCTCCCATAATCCAAGTAAATTATCATTAAGTGAACAACAAAGCTAGATCTTGGACTTGCAACCTAAATTCAGACCAATTCTTAAATGAATTAGAGTTATTTAAAGCAAATAAAACTTAGGAAGGGAGTGCTTTTTATCGGTGCTTTGCTTTGCTTTTTTTTTTTTTTCCCCTTGGTTGCTTTTGCAAAATCACCTAGCACCACGAATTTGCATTTCATATCTACACCAAAGGCCTGCTCTCAATTTATATAGGAATATTTTGAATTGTCATATTTGCATTACTATTTTTATAACTGCTTTCATGCTTAAGTGAACTATTGATTGATTTTGGTGAACTGACAGTAGTATCAACAAAATGTGCAAATATACAAATGTAAATCATAACACAACTTGAAAATATACTAATGAAAACAAATTATACCTTTTAAACTGAATATTAGCTAAAACATCGATATGCATGTAATTACTAAGAATGTAAAGAAATTTCCATGCAAACCCTAATAGATTTTTATTTTTAACTTATAAAATGTTTGTTTTAAAATGAACACATTATATAACACTTATTTTATATAATTTTACATCAGCACCTTTGATAGAGTCATACATCCTGTTTTTTGTTAAGGTGGTACCTTTTTTCCTTTTCTTTTTGGATTGACTGCCCTCTCCCTCTCCTCATTTTCTCCTGCCACACATTGTAGCATTAACACATATTAATGGTCCACCATACATCCATCAATATTTTTATCAATTATTATATATATATACATATGTATTGTTTTGCTAGTCATTTTTCAAAATTTTATCCATCTGAAATTCTATGTGGGTTCCCTCTTCTGCTCAACTTGTCATATTTGTCTGTTCTAACACAAATACCTTATTGATTTCATTGCAGTGGATTTTTGCTCTGTTTTAATACCTGGTATGACAAGTCTTCCTTGTTATTTTCTACTTTTTAGAAAACTAATCAAACTTTTTATTTTCAAAAAGAATTTAAACCTACATAAAGTAGTAAAAATATTGTAACTCACATATACCCTTCACACAGACCACCCATTGTCAACCATTTTGCCACATTTGTGGGTTCTCTCTCAAGTTTTTTTCCAGCTTTATTGAGATGTAGTTAACGTACAGCGTTGTGTAAGTTTAAGGTGTGCAACGTAATAATTTGATACACATATGTATTGTGAAGTGATTACCAAAATAAAGTCAGTTAACACCTCCATTCCTCACATAGTTACCACTTCTGTGTGTGTGTGTGTGTGTGTGTGTGTGTGGTGAGAAAGTTAAAGGTTTACTCCTATAGCAACTTCCAAGTGTGTAATACAGTATTGTTAACTTTAATCACCATGCTGTATGTTGCTGTATGTTAGATCCCCAGAACTTATTCATCTTATAACTGGAAGTCTGTACCCTTTGACAGACATCTCCCTATTTCCCCACTCCCTAATCCCTGGCAACCACTATTCTACTGTTTCTGTAAATTTAGTGTTTTTAGGTTCCACATAGGAATAAGCATACAGTAAGTGTCTTTCTGTCTGCCTTCTTTCATTTAGCATAATGCCATCAAGTTCCATCCATGTTGCAAGTGGCAAGATTTCCTTCTTTTTAAATGCTGAATAGTAATCCAGAGGGTTTATCAACATTATTTTTTATTCTAATAAGCTATGCAGCTTATATTCTGCAAACTTTCTTAAAATAGGATTCTTCAAGGATTTTTATCACTTCAAGTCTTACCATTTAAGTCCTTAATCCATTTTGAATTAATATTTTTGATTACTGTAAGATAGTCCAATTCACATTCTTTTGAATATAAATATCCAGTTTTTCCCAGCACCATTTATTAAAGACACTATCATTTCTCCATTGAGCAATCTTGACTCCCTTTCAAAGATTAGTTCACTGTATATGCATAGGTTTATATTTGAGTCTTCTATTCTGTTCCATTGGTCTACGTGTCTGTTTTTATACTAGTACCATACTGTCTTGATTATTTTAGCCTTATAATATAGTTTGAAATAAGGAAGCATGATTCCTCCAGCTTTGCTGTTTCTCAGAATTGCTTTGGCTATTTGGAGGCTTCTGTGATTCAACACAAATTTTAGCATTGTTTTGTCTATCTAAAGTAGACATTTTAGAAATAGACATTTTATGAAAAATGCCATTGAATATTGATAGAGATTGCATTGAATCTGCAGATGACTTTGGGTAGTATAGATTTTTTTTTCAGGGTATGAACATTTTAATTTATTCTTTTATTGAAGAGCAGTTGACTTATAACATTATACTAGTTTCAAGTGTAAAACATAGTAATTGATATTTTATAGGTTATACTCCATTTAAAGTTATTATAAAACATTGACTATATTCTCTGTGCTGTACATTACATCCTT